CTCTTGTCCACTCCAGACAATCAGTCCAACAGGGTTCTTTGCTGGATCATGTGCAGCAACAAAAAGTTCTTTGCTGGGATGGGGGAATGGATGGATGGATGGGATGGATGATATGAAGCTGACGACAAAAAAAAAATCTTATCCCTTGTTACTCACATTGGAGGCAATATATACTGCTGCTCCTTCCCTCCGTTCTCTCCCCGGATTTTCCCTCCCTCTTGAAGGACATTCATTATCATCTACTTACTTCCATTACTACCACCTGTTATTTACAGTACTACCTACCTGTTCATTAATAAATTCATCATCAATTCTCCCCCATCACTCGCTATATTTTCCATCCAGTCCATCCAGCTGGTGATTCACACGAGATCTGCCATCAATCCCAATCCAGAGCTGAGCCTCCTATCTCTCGCTCGATTCGTCCAGTACAGTCAACAAGGGTAGCTGCAGCTCCCCAAGACCCTACCCTACTCTCCGTCTTATTGTACCATTTATCTCTACCTCCCCCAAAAAGATTCTATATACCACCGCATTGCAGTAGAAACAATCAATCCAACTATTGCTCGCCGCATTGTTTGCGAATAACTTTTTTATCCCCTGGAAATTCTGCCTGTAGAAGCGCCCACAACGGCTTCTTCAACTACGTCAATATGAATTGGCCCACAAAAGATCCAGAACCTGCCGGTATGAACGAGACGAGCCAGCCTTCATTTTATTCCTGCTATTCTTTCAGACTTCGTGGTCATGAACAAAGCCTCTCTGACATTCCAGCGATCTAGGAAACCCATGGTTCAACCAAAACCCGCCCACTTTCGATAAAGCGCTCGTAACACGCTCCGTGCCCGTGTGCGGCGCCGGCCGGTCCCAAGATGAAGAATACAATCTCGGCCTACATGTGATGGCCCTATTTGTAGTTTTAGCACAAAGCTCACTCGGTATGTTCCCCCCCGTCTCCTTTCTCCTACCCGCAGCCGCGATCATTGACAACTAACAACACCCAATTGATTGATTAGCATGTGCATTCCCAATCATCGCGAAACGAGTCCCTTGGCTCCGCATCCCCCCCTCCTTCCTCTTCGGCGCCCGCCATTTCGGTACCGGCGTCCTCATCTCAACAGCATTCGTGCATCTCCTCCCGACCGCCTTCATCTCACTCAATGACCCCTGCCTACCCGAGTTCTGGAACAAGCAGTACCCGGCCATGCCTGGCGCGATCGCCATGGCTGCCGTCTTTTTCGTCACAGTCATCGAGATGCTGTTTACGCGCGGTCTATGCAAGGGCGGCTTCTCTGAGCCGGACCATCACGAGGCAACGCTCGAGCTGGGGTGCACTCAAGAGTGCAAGGATGAGAAGAAAGAGGCCAAGAAGCGGGGGGATGCGAGGGGTGTGGTGAGGGCGGGGACGGGACGGGGGCGGCGGGGGAGCGAGGGGAGTGAGGAGATTGGTGGGGCGGGGGGTGTCGGTGTGGTCGGGTTTGGGATGGCGGGGAGAAGAAGGTCCAGGTGCCATTCGTTCAGCCAGGGACTGAAGATGTACGGTGATATGGGGAAGGATCAACAGCAGCAGGGGCAGAGAACGAGGCCGTCACCTAGCCTGGGAAGTGCAAACTACAACCGGAGGGACTCGTCGGACACTATTACGCAGGCGGATGAGTGTGCCGTTGAGGAGCAGGAGGATGATGTCGACGTTGAGGAGGAGGATGATGTCGACGTTGAGTACGAGAAGAAGGAACCCGCGGAGTCTATCAACGACGCTGAACCTCAACATGTCCACGGCATCAACGGCAACCTGACTCCACAGCAGGTCCACAAGAAGGCGCTTCTCCAGGTTGGACTCCTCGAGATGGGGATCTTGTTTCACAGTGTTTTTATCGGTATGGCGCTTAGCGTTACTGGTGGTCCCGGATTCGTTGTCCTCCTTATCGCTATCGTCTTTCACCAGACGTTTGAGGGCCTTGCGCTCGGAAGCAGGATTGCTGTTTTGGACTGGAAGCCAAAGGCAATACAACCATGGATGATGGCACTTGCATACGGGCTCACTACACCACTCGGACAGGCAATTGGGCTCGCTACACACTCTCTATACACCCCAGAGAGCCAGACGGGTCTTCTTATGGTCGGGGTCATGAATGCCATCTCGTCGGGTCTTTTGGTTTTTGCGGGTCTGGTAGAACTACTCGCGGAGGATTTCTTGAGCGACGAGAGCTGGAATGTGCTCACGGGAAAGAGGAGAGTGGCGGCTTGCTTTTTGGTGTTTGCTGGCGCGTTTGGGATGGCGTTTGTGGGTGCTTTTGCTTAGATAGTAGAAGCGGAACTAGACGGTTTTTTTTTTTGTCTTTTTTGTTAAGTGGACTTTTTTTTATTTTTTCTTTCTGGGTCTGGGGTTTTCATTCCTTGGGTTTTTCCTTTGCTGTATTGTAGCTTAAGTACTCCACTGGGTGGTCAATGATATTCTTGATCTTCCAAATTGGGGTGTGGTGACGAAGCCTATGCGATGTGATGTGTGATCTTCTTCGTTAGCCGTGTTTGAATATGTGATGAGGATGCTGTGTTGTATGATAAGGAAATGATTGATTTTTAATATATTGTTCATTTGGAACTCTACTGAGAGTATATGATACCACTCATCTGTGTCAATTTGCGTCGTGAGAGGGCTACAAGACCTCTGTATTGGTTTGAATGCCCAAGATGAGATTCAAGTTACATCCTACTCTCTACAATGTTGTCAGTAATTAGTGCACCTCTCAAATTTTGACATCAATCCAGATTGGGGGCTTATCTCTGTACCACACAACCCAGCTTGTGCTCTCTTCCGCATTGCGGACATCCGTGCTTGAACCTGTTTTGATGCACATTGATTGTTGCTGCATTCATCGAAGCCAGACCTAGAGGAGGCGATGAAGGGCGGAATCACAACTAAAGCCCGCTTTTCACCTCCCATGCATCATCTACTCCCATATGGCTCTGCAATTCTTAAACATAATTCTCTGGCAGGGGGATGGAGGACACCTCCCAGCACCAGATTTCACTCCGCTGCTACCGGAAGGGTGCCACCCGCCCCCTGTCGGTGAATCAGTTTTGGGTCACCAGACCCATATCACCCTGTTCCATGAATTTAATTCAGTTAGTATTTGGTTACTCTCACTTTTACCGTTACCTAGGCCTCCAGGTCGGCAGGGGAGGTTGCCAAGCCCGAGTGATTTTGTGTGAACATGTGGTTTGTATGCTCAGCGGAGTGGGTGCCTCGAGGGTTTTGGGGGCGTCTTCGTTGTTTTTTTGTGAGTTAGAGCCGGGGTACTGTGCGAGCTGTGGAGTAGTGTTTTTCTTACTGTGGCTTTAGGCTTGTGTGTCGTGTTTGGGCTGCTTTTGTGTGCTTGCCCCGTGTATTTTCAGCTGGTTGGATATTTTGGAAGAGAATTTGCAGTTCCCCGTATCTGTTTGTGACTCTATGGCGATGACGCCGACTGGTTAGTATTCTCAAGAGGATATTTTGATTACAGGGCTGGGAGGGGGGCATTACCTAAGATAAGGGTTCTTTTTCTCGCACCACAGAGGGTAAAAGCTCGTAGAAGTAAGATAAGCACTAAACGCCCCTTGTAGTAAAAAGAGTTAGTGGTGGATGGTTTTGTTCCAGGGCTGCCCCCACAGAAATCTTCATCAGAGAGAGGACTCGGCTTGGCAGGGCCAGATTATCTTCAAGAAAAACCATCCCTCGATTCTCCACAAACCATCGCTTCAGCCAGAGTTTGATGAAACTCGAGGGATGGCTTTTGTACGAACCCAGGGCAAAGAAGCAAAAGCCGTGGGGTTCTAAGGGCGGGGAGAGAGTTTCGGCGTGTTTCTCGACGAGGCGTATTAATCGGTTGGCGATAACTTACCTGAATCTGTTTTCTCTGGTAAGATATTGCATTGGTAAAAAGTGTGAGGAGAGAAGCGGGATAGAAGATCAGAGTTTACTTTGATAGCTGTGCTGGAAAAGTACTAAGAGATTTTTATTAGGGTGTAGGGCACACAGTATATTTGGCGGGAACAGGACGGGAGGGTCGTGCATGCACCCACTAAAGTAACTGGGATCGAGTTAGGCTCCTATAAATCCCCTATGGTCAAATTGCCGCTCTCATTATCTGACTCAGAAAGAATTCTTTTCCTTCCCCTACTAGTAGCCCTTCCATGCTCCCCATCTATCCTACATCTAGTATCACGCCAATAGTAAACGCAATTTCTCTCCAGTTACCCTCGACGATGTATGACACCCATATCGATCATCAATAAGACCTCCCCTACGAAACTCGTCATTTCCCTCCATATCTCAAATCTACGGCTCCCCTCAACATGACATCCTCACTGTAACGAGAGTCCCTAGCCCACCCCGCGACGGCTGTCAAACCGAGCATAGGACAACTAGGAGTGTGGCGCGCACTCTGCACCTGGGTTCCCATCCTGCTGGAGTAATTGGCTTGGGCCCATGTGCTACATACTTTAGACCATGGTAAGGAGTCGGAGCTGAATAAGGTTCAGGCGCAGGTAATATCTTGTGAAAGAGACTCAGTTCCATGTTAGTTGGTGCATCATCAAATATCACTAACGCCAAGCAAGCCCTATGATTTGTCGAGTGACCATTTGTGATTCAAGGCCTTGTTCCCATTAACTGGAGTTCTGACTGCCTTATTAACGCAATATTGAGAACGTTTATAGGAGATTATTTTGTTTAATTACATATCTCGTTAACGTAATAGCATTAATGAAAGGATAAGTAGATTGGAGTAGATAGGGTAAAGCTATAGCGCTAAAAGACGAGAAGAATACGAAGAAAAATAAAATAGAAATGCGAAATACGTTTTTATAGTTCTAGAGGGGTTCTAAGCCTAGTTAAATCTTTGAATACAAACTGTTAGTCTTTCTCGGGGGTAAATATTAGCTCATTCCCCACTGCGATACTAGAACTTTGCAGTTAGCTATCATCGACTCACTCCTACGTGTCCCGGTCCAGTCAATCTTCATTTTTTCCTCTTGACGATTCCACCCGGTTCCACATTCTTCGTACCCAGTAGCTCTGCCAAACCTCTTCCATCTCCGACCTCCCGATCCTCCGCTTCCTCAGGGTCTTCCTCCGCTTCCTCAGGATCTTCCTCCGCACTCCCAAGATATTCTCCAAAACGGACCTTGAGGTTTTTAATCCCTTTAGCGAAAAGTGCGTCCTTCCACCTTTCCACGAGATCTGCCATGTCTACATCAAGCTGAAATTTTCCATCCGCGGACAAGCGGGTTTCTGGGAACACCGAGCCGTATATCCTACAAAGCGGGTTGGGACGGAGATATTTCCTATTTTCCCGCTTGCGCTTTTTGGTGGGAGAAGTAGAAGCAGCTGGAGGGACCAGAAGCTTCTCAAAGCAGTGGAGGCAGAAGAATTCACCACGTCCATGGAGGCGGGTATTTCGGGGGTTTTTGAGCAAGGCGTGATAATCTGGTAGTCTTTTGATCCCCTTACTGTCGTGCGCTGCATCATTGAGATTTTCTTCGTTTTCATCAATAACCATGCTGTCCTCCTCTTCGTCCATCATTTCGTTATCCAGATCAAAGGTCACCTTCTTCTTCTTTTTGCCGGCACCTTTGACCTTCTCCGACGTTGTCCATCCGTGTGGTTCGAAGCTGACTCTTATCTCTCCGTCATCCCATGTCCTCCCGCACCCCGGGTAGCCACAGAGCATCTTCACCTCGTGATCTTTATTTCCTCTTGTGCTCCTTAAAGCACCCTCAATGTTATATGCCTCCGAGCGCTGGATCCAGATCTGATACCTTCCCCTCAGACATTCCTTCACCCACATTATCTTCTGCAGAAGCTCCGCCTCCGTTTCCGATGCGTTCCTAACTGCGATAACCTCTTTTAGCTCCTCTGAGATGTCCTCGCGAGCCCAGCTACGGAAGAGTACGACAGCATCTCTGGCTGCTTCAATGCGCATCTCATCTAGGCTTTGATATTTCGTCTTCTCTGGTGGTGGTGGAGGAGGAGGAAGAGGCGGAGATGACGATTGCGGGACTGGAGTACCCGGTTCGGGAGTGGTATTGGGAGAGGACGATCCGTCAGGGTCGTGTTCAATGTTGGAGGAGTAAAGTTCTTGAGATTCTGGGGATGACTCTGTGGTTCGGGTGGGCTCAACTATGACAGTTGGAGAAACTCCGAAATGGGTTGAGTTGGCGAGGCCTTGTAAAAATTCCTTAGATTGAGGTAAGGTGAGGGTGAAGATGACGATACGAGAGGGTCTTGTTGGGATATCGGTGAGGCGGAGTGTCCTAGGAACCATGATGACGGATCTCAATGTGAGATGTAAATTGTTAGACGTTGGGGAAAGCTCCGTTAGAACGGGGGTTAGTCGGGAACTAGGTAGTAGCTTGTTTGTGTTGGTTTGTCTAGCCAGCTAGTAGCAGCAGGTGCGGGTTAGTGAAGTGAGTACCTGCAGATAGAGGAGGGTATACTTTTCCGGTATGAGTCCGCGACTGTCGCGGCCGTTATATAGAGATTAGGGGGTAGGAGATGATGGGGAGCGGAAACAGGGGAAGAAAGCTAAATTATTCAATTTGACATTTGGCATCTCTACCGGAGTTTTTCATGTAGGTGAAATTTACTTTATGCTATGACATCAGTTCCACCACAGCTTTCCACTTGAATGCTAAATTATAAATGTATTTCCTTGCGCCTGCAGCTGTCTGCTCTGCAATTGCACAAATAAACAAAGATCAAGATATTTCTATCTCGACACAGATACCTCCACAATAGTATCAATGTGGCGCTGAGTTGATCCTGTGTAGATTGCCCCACTCTGATTATATACACGTAGGCACCGTACAAGACAGTCGAAGTTGGGATTACGTAGCTGTTGCGTTGAGGAGCTAAGCCTCTTCGTATTGAATTTAGTAAGTTTCTGTAGCTGTACGTATACGTAATATTATAAACATTCTTCAGAGTGCAAACATACAGATATAGGTCCTACATAAATACATCCATGACTCAGTTATAACAGTTACGAACTGTAACGAAAAAGGAAAGTCTGTTTCCAACCCAGCAAAATCACGCGCATTTACCTTCATATTTCATCTTTCCTAGTGATGCCAGTACCATAGAATTTTGACTTTCACTGAACCTTAAACCTCTTTCCTACAATCTATATATACATGTACCTATGTGATGTATTCAAGTTTGAGCCTCCCTCTAAGTGTAAATACATGAAGAAACCTCTAGTGGGGTACTGTGAAACGACACCTCCGTAGTACATCTCTAGGCCGCGATTAAGATTTATGATCGAGATCCAGTACAATCCGAGCCCTCATATATATTTGCCTCTTGGCTCCTGGCTGGGAAGATCAAATTATGATAATTCTATATATATACGTATCAAAATTAATGTGACAGATAAGGTCTCCGAAACCGACAGAATTTTCTTTCTCTCATAATGTCGCTGGTCTAATAGCTTTAAAATTGAGCAGAGCCGCAATCGATTCATGTGATATCGTCATATGATCATGCCTCTTATGAATCTACTAGATGAGCTAATAGGGAAAAACTACAAAGCTCGTTCTCACCAACTATCACTCGCACTAATAGTAACAAGCAACAACCTTTGTTTCGTTTCACTAACTTCTAGCCAAAACCAACGAACAACTATAGCTAGAAAGACTACCACACGTAACGCAATAAACAAAATGCGCGAAGCCCTTGAAAATCCGATGCCGCTATATTCGCACGGGCCATGTATAAAATGTCAATTATTCCCATTTCAATCACCAAGCCGTTTTCAAGCGAACATTCTCTCAACTATTTTTCAACCTCCCTGGAGGATTTCATCTTGATACACTCTTTTTCAAGAACTTGTACGCAGGTCGTACTGATATAAAAGTTAAGCTTCTTACTGCCAATTAAAAAAGTATCACATTCACATCCCATCCATCAGTACCAACCTAAACCAACATTCCCAACTAATACTCAATTAAGAATATCCAAAGCCAATAAAATGTCTACCGGAACTACCGACCAATTTGATCAGTTACGTCTACCGAATAGCCCGGTTACTCCAGGAACTCGGCACTTTATCGATTCTTGTCTTGCCAATTTCGATCTAGGCGGGCGCTACCAAAGTGGTGAGCAAGATACCCAAGAATTTGATATTGATATGTTTGCGGGCGAAGATTCATTCACTGGAATGCTTGAAAACTTTGAGTTCCCAGGAAATCAAGAGCTGCAACAACCTGCTGTGCAGGAAGGAGATTTGCAGTTCCAGGAATTTAACTTTCATAATAATATGCAAGATATTGGCTTTGATATTGACCAAGAAGTAACGGAGTCTGAAGGAGAGTATTCGCCGATTACTATTGATGATTCGCATATCGATCCTGAGCTGCGGATGCTTGATGAGTGGAGCGGCCCAATTGCAATCACGCCTTCAAAGCTACAATTATGCCCTCCTAGTGGCATTATGTTCCCAAAGAAGGTACCTGGCGTCTATGAGTCTATCACAATATCTTCAGTTCCTGAAGATGGGTTCAAAGACAATACACAGTGCCAGCCATCAAGCTTCACGAACTCCCCTACCGACGTGGAAACATCCTCCATCTATACGAACCTAGTCCCAATTTACCCTCGTACAGATCTTACCAACTACTTTGTTTCCACATCCCCTGTCCCCCGTATCCGCATCAATGGCTCCTATACTATTACTCATTCGAAATCCGGAACCGACTTCGCGTACACCACCTATGCATCACTCCCCACCTGGCATGCCCCGGGTCTCCCCTCTTCCGGGATAACTTACAACTCACTCGGATTTCTCGACAAAACGATCGTTTTCAATGCCAGCACTCTCACCTCATTCATCCGTCATCACCCTCTCGGTCCCAGCCTTGTCCTCAGAATTGAGAAACATCCCTACGAGGCCAAAAATCGTTATATATCCTCTTCATCCCAGACAACCAACGGCAAAGCAAACAAAAGCAGGTCAAAGCCAAAATACACGACCTGCCGTGCTAAAGATTGCGCTCTTGGTGGAATCCTCAAAGTTGGCGAATACCGTGTTGCTATCGACGAAGTCTCAGGTCGATTCAAGGAATCAGACGAAAGCGATAATGACCCTTACTTCTCCAGTTGTTTCCTTCACCTTCAATGCTTCGAATCTCTGACTAACATCACTCCCATTCTTACTACCGGAACGCTCATCCCAGACTGCCGCAGTAACTTCATCAAAGAACCCCCGGCTGGGAAAAATATGAAGAATAATAACAAGATGGCGTTCTCTAACAAAGAGCTCACTGCATTTCGGACATGGCGTGCTAACTATGACCCTAACCAGCCAAAAATGCAGGGCAAGGACTCACTACATGCCACCTTGTGGCTTGCAAATATCAAGAAGGCCCGCGCAAAATGTCTGCATCGCGCGCCACCAGGAGTGACACAAGAAGATATAGATAAGCAGTTGTCGACTCGCGCATTGTGGGGAGGCCGTAGGGCAATGGGGGTGACTGTGGCTGAAATGAATAGACTGGAGCAAGAGGGCCGCTGCGATTTACTTATCGCCCCCAGGAATGGACTTTCTAAGAAGATGGGAATGGGGCCGACTGGTGCGACTGCGGTACGTTTTCTAGGGAAGAAAAGGAGTGGACAACCAGACAAAAGGAATCAAAAAAGAGCAAGGGAGCCTGAACCTGATTCTCCGCTTGAATCGTCGCCTGACCCGAAGAGAAGAAGGGCATCTTTACAATCTCCTCCGCAAAAGAAAGGTCGCGGACCACCAATGGACATGAGGATTCAGGTCCTCTCTTTGCCTACTACAAAAGAGAGACTCCCATTATCCCCCATATTGGGTTATTCGCCCTCGCTGGCTACATTCGATTTATTGGGGAGCACTAATTTTCCGACAACACTTTTGAGGAGAAGCACAAGGGGAAAGGTCGACCCTTTCTCGGTGTCCCCACTAACACCAACAAGAAAGAGTGTAAGCTTTGCCATTTCACCGACAACACCAATGAGAAGAAGCTTGAGGAAGAGCAGCTACGCTTCACCGATGACACCAACCAGAAGGAGTCCTAGAGGCCATGAGAGGAAAAAGGTGAATTATGCTGAGATCGATGAGGAGAAAGAGAAGGAGAATGATTATTATGGTGAGAAAAATGAGGAGCTGTTTGGGCTAGACCTAGATATGGAGTTCGATCAGTATGTGGAGTATGGATATTGATTATGGAGTCTGGGGGTTTCGGGTGAGAATCGTAAGTTTTTGGTTCCTTTTTTATCTATCTTGATGGTAGTGGAATCCAGAACTCCATAATTACCAAACGTTCTTGAGAATTGTCAACAGTAGTGAAACCACATCTGCAACTTATTCACCACCGCTAATCATTATGGCCCTTTCCAAAAATGTGGAATGACAGAAGCCCTGTGGCGTTTACTTAGACCTAGCTAGCCTCCGTCTTTTCTTTCATTTTTTCTCTTATGTTTCTATTGCGTTTACTCATTAGAGCGTGTTTTTGTTTGGACTGTTTTCTTTGTTAGAATCTTTTGTTTGTGTGAGTTTAGCGCATGACCATCGAGTCCCACATTACCTGTTCTAGTGAGAATTAAACCCATGATCTATTTCCTGATATAAATTTTTTTCTATCTCGGCTTCCAGAAATACTTTCGCAGTGACCACTATTCAGATCTTATGAAAATACTTAGTACTAAAGACAACCACTCACTTGGCAGGAGAGCATCCACCAAGAATAACTGCCAAGAAATGTATTGAGAAATTTAAAACTTTTTAGTAAAGTAACAAGATGGTACTTCTGATGGTTGTAAGCTTAAAGAGTCGTCTCATCAGCGATTATTTATGCCGGGCAGGAGATGTTCATACCCTATCGAGTCTAGTCTAACAATTACCAATCGAAAAAAAAGATAAGTCTGATGCGAAGAAGTTCTAATAGCTCCCTACTTAAAACGTTTCGGATAATGTTTACTACTCTCAATTACTGATCAATCAGCCCATATATTTGTAACGGACCGGCTCAAGAGATCGATGGGCATGGGCCTGGCTTGAACATGAACAAGAAATAAGGAACCGGCCAGCTTCAGCGTATGTTTAGACTACGCTGACCCGCATAGTACCGCTTCATGCTCCTAAACTCTTTCCTGAAAATTCAGGTACGTACTGCGAGTGGTTATTATCGTCTGGACAGTATTTCCGCTAATTCACGTAAGAAAGCATGACATTATAAAATGATTTTGTGGGGAAAATGAACGACCAGTTTAGCAATTGCTCTCAAGGTGACTAAGACTTTTAAT